CCTTGCCGCCGGCGTTCTTTATCCTGGCCAGCTCCACCTCGTCCTCAGGCTTGTGGTCGTAGGACATGTCCAGGGCCCTGCCCCCCTCGGACACCACGCAGCGCGAGTCCCCGGCGTTGGCCACGATCAGCTGCTTGCCGCGGATCAGCGCCACCACCGCCGTCGTCCCGCTGTCCGAGCCGGGCTGCGAGACAAGGGTGCTGCTGAGAACCCCCCTGCTGCTCCCCGCCAGGCCGCGAGGGCCCCGGCACCAGCCAGCCAGCTCCTGAGGGGTGCCAGGCCCTGGGGTGCTGCCTCTCACCCCCGTTCCCCACAGCACAGGACGGCAGAGAAAACCCCGAGGGAGGTGGGAGGGCGGCAGTGTCCATGAGGCAGGGTCAGGCAACACCCCCGTCCCTGCCTCAGAAGGCACACGTGGGCCAGGGTGCCCCAGAGTTCCACGTGTCCTGTGACACCCTCAGGTCTAGCACTGGGCCCAGTGCCAGCCCAGCCCAGCTCGGGCAAGCCTCCCTGCAAGCCAGGAGCTCTCCTCACGGGGAGCAGGCTGGCACTGTGGCAGCTGCAGAGCTCGTTCCCTGACACCACGGGCCCCTGCCCTGGACCGAGGAGCCACAGCCTTGGTCTTGGCTCTGCCCGCAGCCACAGAGCCAGCAGGGCACAGTCCTGCTGCTGTCCTGCACTCTCCTTCCACATCGACACCCACGGCTCCCAGTCTCAACTTGCTGCCCAGACCCGTGCCCTGTCCTGCAGCCTCCCACAGCACTGGGCTGTCAGCAGCTGTGACAGCCCCAGGAGCAGCAGGGACAGCTTGTCCCCATCTGCATCCAGGAACTCCTCGCTGAGTCCCCCCCAAGCACCCTTGGCTCTACACTATGCTGCGGAACACAAGAACAGGGTGTGCACCTCCTCTTTCCCCTCCATGCCTGGTAACAACATTTCCTCCTCTTCATCCTCATCCTCCTCTGCTTCTTCAGTGTCATCTTCATCATCTTCATTCTCTGCTTCTTCACTGCTGTAACCATCCTCATCTTCACTGCAGTCCTGCAAGAAACGAGAGATACCACGGGAGTCACACAGGACACCCTGGGTGCCCTTCCCAGGCAGCTGGTCCCTCTGTCCCGGGGACTGAGGAGAAGTCTGCCCCAGCAGAGGGAGGTGACCTGGGACACGTCCCCCACACCTGATGCCAGAGCAGCTGGTTCCAGCCACTGGAGTGGATGAAGGGGTGTGTGCATGCAGCGAGAGCGAGGGCCACCCGCTGCGGCCCCTGCACAGGTGAGGGTGTCTCCTTCAGGAGCCCGGACAGTCCCCGATACTCCCCTGAGATGGACTCAAAGTATCAGCCTGAAACCTCCTCCTGTGGCACGCCCAGGATGAACCAGAGGCTCACAGCTCAAGTACCACAGCGAGCAATGTGTTCTACCCAGCCGGAAGGCCGCTCTGTCCCAGTGCTGGTTCCTACCTCACTGTCTTCCTCCTCTTCCTCAACCTCATCTGACTCATCCTCACTGTCCTCAAAAAATTTGGATTTGGCTGTGCGCTGGGGCTTCCCCGTGGAGGAGCAGGAGGGCCCGGCCTCCCCAGTAGAAGAGGTGACGGCCTCGTCACCCCTGCCCGGTTCAGGCTTCTGCAGGGCAGGGCTGTCGCCTCCAGCGCTGGCTGAGCTGGAGGAAATACCCGTCATGTCCTCCTCTGGCTTCCCGTTCTTTGCCTCCTGGGGGGGGGTGGGCTCCTGGGGCCACGCCTCATCTGTCAAGTTTGCACTCCACGCTCCTGGGTCTCGGCCTCGCCGTTCAGGTTTGACTCCCCCTGGTGCTGCCTGCCCGTCCCCTCGGCGGCGCTCTCCGCGGCCGGAGCTAAGCACTTGGTTTTGAGGTTCTTGGTGCAGTTCTGTCCATATCGTGTGAGAAGCTCCTCGATGGTCATGGTGGCTTCCTCGTGCAGAAGAGCAGCCTCCTCATTATCCACTGCAAATGAAGAGGGAGAGGGGTGTGAGGACAAAGGGGGTCAGACACAGAGCCAGAGGCGTCCCGGGGCCAGCCCTGCTGCTCTGGCTGCAGACAGGGGCTCGCAGTGCCCAGCAGGCTGGTGGCCAGCAGGGACAGGACACGTGGCCAGGCCCGTGCCACCCACCACCTCCAGGAGGAAGGGCAGGGCGATGGCTCCTTGCCCCAGCCACGCTACCCTGGGGCCTCCAGCCTCTGACAAGGCCTGGACATCCTCGTGGTTAGAACTGTAAATCCCCAAAGGAAAAGGAACATCCATGTCCCAAATACTCCTGAAAATACAGCACAAAACCAAAAAAAACCCCAACCACAAACCACTTCACCCCTGGCAGCTGAAGAGCAAGGGCCAACAAAAATCCAGTGTTCTGAGACCAACACACAATGTTCAAGGTGATGGTATCACTTTACATGTGCTTCAAGGTAGAATAGGTTTGGATTGGAAGGGACCTTAGAAGGCCATCTAGTCCAACCTGTGTCATAGACAGCAACACCTCCCATTAGAGCAGGCTGCACAAGGCCCCATCCAACCTGGGCTTGAACACCTCCAGGGATGGAGCATCCACAGCTTCCCTGAGCAACCTGTTCTGGAGTCTCACCACCCTCAGAGGGAAGAACTTTTTCCTAATTTCTAATCTAAATCTGGCCTCTTCCAGTTTGAAGCCATTACCCCTTGTCCTATCACCAGCCCTTGTACACAGTCCCTGGGCAGCTTTCTTGTAGGCCTCAACAGGGTCACAAGGTACTTAGCCCAGGGCAGCACAGACTCTACCCTGGGAATCCTCTTCCAGCTGGCTTCAAAGTCTGGCAGTGACTTGCTGGTGGGAAAGCAGCACACTTGGTTCTTGGTGAGAAAAGAACTGCTGAAAGGACCAAAGTCTGGTTCATCCCCACCTGCAACTGGTGTCTGCTGCCAGCCTGGCAGAGCTGTGCCCTGGACATTGTACTGCTCTGCTTCCACAACTCAGCCCAATTCCCAGACTCACACCAGAACTCTGCACCCCTTGGAGGCAGCCCTACAGAAACTCTCTGGTGGGTTATTTGTAGGATTCCAGGAATCAGAATTCCCCTAGCAGCAGCCTGAAGCCATCAGCAGTGCTGAGGGGTGGCCATTTGACTCCAGTAGAAATTTAACTGAAATCTGGGCAGAAAACTCCCTGTTGAAGGGGGCCTAGCTCAGCTGCTCTCAGCTCGTCCCAGAGCTGCAGTCTTGCCTGTCAGCAGCATCTGACTTACCATCATCTTCATCAGCAACCTTCTCCTTCTCATCTTCATCGTCCTGGGGTCGTCCAGCCATCTGAGAGAGCTCTTTAATCACCTCCTCAGTGGTGAGCTTGGCATCGATGGCTAAGAAAGCATCTTCCAGGGCCTAGGGGTGAGCACAGACATGAGAGCACGCAGAGTTCCACCCTCCCTGCAGGAGCCCGTGTGCCACACTGTGCAACAGAGTCCCTGCCAGAGCAGAACCCACCCAGCCACTCACAGTGGCTGAGGCTGGCAGGGGCCTCTGGAGAGCCCCTTGTCCAACACCCCTGCTCCAGCAGGGACACACAGACCTGATTGCCCAGGACAGCTTTTAAGTAGCTCCAAGGATAAAAACTGAATCGCCTCCCTGAGCAACTGTGCCAGTGCTCAGTCACCCTCACACTGAAAGATGTTCCCTGATGTTCAGAGGGGGGACCCCCCTCGGGTCCAGTTTGTGCCCTGGCCTCTGGTCCCGTCACTGGGCACCACTGGAAGATCCTGGCTCTGTCCCCTCAGCACCCTGCAGGTATCTGCAGACACACACTGAACTCCTGGAGCCTCCTCTGCTCCAGGCTGAGCAGTCCCAGCTCCTGCAGCCTCTTCCTGCAGCAGAGATGTCCCAGGCCCTTCAGCACCCTGGTGGCCCCTTGCTGGGCCCAGCATCAACCCAGGGGACAGCCCACACCAGATGGAGCACTGGTACTCGAGGGGGATTACAGCACAGGGATTGCTAATCCCCACCTCTGACAAAAGCTACCCCTGCCCCTGAAGCCCACCAAAGCAAGGCAAAGAACCAGCCCACGCCTTTAACTGCAATGGGCCTGAAAATTCAAAACAAAACAAACCACAATAAACCAAGGGAGCTGGAAAACAGAGGAATGTTTGAAAACACAACTGACACCTGGTGTACACTCCCAACACAAGGAAGGGGACGAAACTGGAAGACATGGCAGAGACCTCAGGGGGACAGGTCCCTGTACCCAAACGAGACCCTTGCCCTGCAGTGGTGCCTGCTTGTTCCAGGGCAGAGCTAGACTCTTACCTTTTGCAGCTTGCCTTCCTTGTAGGCCTTCTGGTCTTTGATTATTTCAGGAAGATACTTGGCACAGTACAGGGCAACTTCTTCTCCTGAAAGAGAGCAGAAATCCTTTACAGAGGCTGGTCCTCCCAGAAGCAGAATGGGCTCCTGGGCAGCTGCCTTCCTGAGCAACCGACTTCCAGAACTAAGAGGAGGGTGGGGAGCACGGGGGCCTCGCTCACACCTCCCAGCAGGCTGCAGCTCCAGGGCAGCAGGACTTGCTGAGGGCCCCTGGCCAACCTGAGCGAGCTCCTGCCCATCATTCCCACCAACACCTGGAGGGGAGCTCAGGCCCACTTTGGCACCAGGCCCAGGCTCCCTCAAAGCTCCATTTTCACCTGTAAGCACAGGGACAAAGAACAAGTGGAGGAGGAGAGCAGCTCGGGGCCAGGCTGTGCCCTCTCCAGCATTGCCAGCCCACGGCGAGCAGCACGGGGGGTGCTGGGTGTCCTGCTGGGTGCTCTGCACCCCCACAAGCACGGTGCCCCAGCCTCCAGCTGAGCCCTGCAGGGGGACAGGGCCCCGGGGCAGCTGGGCACAGGGGGCACGGCGGCCAGGACACTGCCCTGCGAGGGGACTGAGGACAGCCTGGACTGAGGGTCAACAGCTCAAACCAAGCGCCCGCTCCTGGGGCAGCCAAAAGATTTCCAGAACGCAGAGACACTCCAGCAGCTCCAGAATTAACACTGTCAGGTATGAGCAGAGCACAGGAGGTGATTTTTGTCATCATGAAGATGCTACTAAGAGAGCAAGAATGTTAAACTGAGTGAAGGATTGTGAATTTTCATAGTTCAGCTCAGCAAGAGGGACCAGAAGGAACAGTGCAACTCCCAAGAGGTTAGTCTCATGATTTCATAGAATCACAGGATGGCTGGGGTTGGGAGAGACCTTAATGAGCATCTGCTTCCAGCCTCCCTGTCATGGGCAGGGACACCTCCCATTACACCAGGCTGCACAAGGCCCCATCCAGCTTGGTCTGGAACACTTCTGGGGATAAAGCATCCACAGCTTCCCTGAGCAACCTGTTCTGGTGTCTCACCACCCTCAGAGGGAAGAACTTTTTCCTAATTTCTAATCTAAATCTGGCCTCTTCCAGTTTGAAGCCATTACCCCATGTCCTATCACTGCCAGCCCTTGTACAAAGTCCCTGGGCAGCTTTCTTGTAGGGCCCCTGCAGCTATGGGAAGGCTGCTGTGAGGAGGATTAGGTTTATGTGAGGTGAAGAAGGAAGCAGGACACAGGAACCTGGCTCACGGGTCACGAGGAAGGAACATCAGGGCTAGGAGCTGAGAAACAAACGGCACAATGGCCACAGGCAGATGGTGGGGCCCAGGGCCCTGCTGGACGAGCTGCCCCTGCCCCGGGGCATGGCACGGGCAGAGCCCAGAGCCCCTGGCACAGTGTGGGCAGAGCTCAGAGCCCCTGGCACAGTGTGGACAGAGCCCCTGGCACAGTGTGGACAGAGCCCAGAGCCCCTGGCACAGTGTGGACAGATCCCCTGGCACAGTGTGGACAGAGCCCCTGGCACAGTGTGG